CCTCAGCGTCCAGCTTCTCAACATCAACACTAAGGACTTCAGCCTTAGAAAATCTCCAAGATTCTCTAGTAGGCTGGATATTCTGCAGTTGGAAATTGTGAGAATCTCCAAGATGCTGAGGCTTGTGAGGGAATGTGGCAGCTTAGTCAAATTGTGGATTCCGGAAAGGCAGAGATTGCAAAGAGTCGGGAACCGTTCGCCAAGATCCTCAAATAAGATGTTAGGGACATGGGTTAGCAGCAGACGTTGAAGGCGGAAGCACGGTAATTCTGACGGAAACATTGAAGGGAAGGCTGCCGATCCCTGCACAAATCTCAGCGAACAAAGCGTCGTCAGTTGGCCAAATGAGAAATTCCCTTCAAAATCGTGGAACCGTGTCTCTCCTGGGAAGAACAGGCTGGTCAGATTAGGAAGGTTGGTTAACTGCGACATCTGATGCAGTCGCATGTCCAATTTCTAAATCGAAAGCTTCGTGAGAGACAATAGATTGGCAAAGTTTGGATACTCCATAGGCGATATTTTCCCCAGTGACAGCGTATGCAGGCGCGTCAACTGGAAGAAGGAAAAGGGAAGCTTCGTTGTCCGATGAAGACACTGCAGTAACAGCTGCTGCAAGCGGGGACAACGGCGGAAGAGACTATCCAGGCCAGGTGCAGTGACGAGGTGGTCCGAATTGTTAAAGGAAGTCATTGTTTCCTCGTCATACGCGTAGACTTCGTTGTAAGCAATGCCTGTGCCGACATGGAGAGTAGTTAGCTTCGGAAGGAAGAGGCGAGAAAGGCTAGGACATCGTTGTCGATCATTTCCATGCTTCCGTTGCTCAAGTGCAGGTGAGTGAGATTTGGGAAGAACACCAAAACGCGTTTTAGATCCTAGCGAGAAACCAGACGGTCTTGTAAAACGTGAAGCATTGTGACAGATTCGTGTGCGAGCTCCCGCCATCGACGGCACACCGAGGTGATGAGGAGAGCATGTGCGACATTGGTAGAGGCAGGAGGCGTCATATAATGCGGATCAGGTTCTGGATCTAGTTCATCCACTTGATAAGCGTAATCGTAGAGAGACGATGAAGATGTCGGCCGCAAAGCATCAGAATATCGGAAGATCCTGATAAGAGCATCGTTTGGAAGAGAATGAATGCTTGTGGACTGACTCCCTAAAGCGGACCTGCGAAGGTTTGGATTTCTAAGACGACAAGCAAATCTTGGAGACAAAGTGCTCCCTTGTGGGACCACCTTAGGAGAGCAATCTGATAAGTCAACGAATCAAGATAAAACAAAATGGGAGCTTGCATACCTGCTTTTCTGCAAAGCAGCTTCTTACTAGTACCAATGTCGTTTGAATCCAGCATGCCTCGATCTAGAAGAACAGAGGCAAAGCCGAGAACAGAGCGTAACCTGCTTTGATCCCGTTTGTGTCATAGAGGATTAAAGGTTTAAAGGTTTTCATTAGGTCGTAACCTGTTACAAACATGCAACTAGATGAGGAAACAAGCATAAGCCCAGCTCCTAGTGGGGAGCACGTGTGAACACGTCATCCTCCCGCTATGAAAGCGAAAACCATCCAGAATGGTCATCTAGTGACACGTGGCATAGGGTGGAGGCGGAGTCTTCAAGGAGGGCGGAAGGCGTCGTTGAGGAGCCACGTGGCTTGTAATTCTGGGAAAATAACCGGGCAGTTGGGTTCAGGAAAGGTGAAGAGCCTATGGAGTTGAGCTAGCCTAGCCTTGTGTGCTGCCTGTTGTTGCTTTTTCTTGGAGCCCTTAGGAGAACGCCAAAGGAAAATCTTGAATGCAAGAAGAAAGTAGTGTAGCACTTGGTGAAGCGCATCCACCGTTTTGGTAGAAACCTGTTTGTAATGGAAGCTGCATCTTGCGTTCCATATAGTTTTTTATGCTGCGCCGACCAATAGGCACCATAGAGCATCTTGTCCAGTAGTTGATGATAGTGGAAACGGCGGCAGTTCGGGTGAGGTAGTGATCCCCAGATGAGCGCGGGCGGTGCGTTGTAGCGCCTCTGTTATTGGCTTTGCCACCCCACATTCGAAAAACAGATGCGGGAGCGACTCCACCACACCACGGCCGCAGCGGCGCATATTCCTTTGTCCCGAGCAAAGCTGAACATGGAGCCAGATGGAAGCTCCAAAGTATATAATCGAAAGAGTATGCCGCGCTGCGATGATGGTTGCGTTGAGGGAAAAGCATGAGTGTAGTCGAGGATGAGTGCCGGGCCAGGGTTGGGCAAGAGATTAGCGCACTTTCATGGGTGCATAGGCTCTTGTTGTTCGTACGAAAGTTCATGCATCACGGCGAGAGAATGAATCCCGTCTTCCAGTAGCAAGATGCGTGCTGCGAGTCCCGCGCCAGAGCAGAAGGGGCCACAGAGCCAACGGCTGAGCACGTGAATGTGAACGGCATCTCTCGAGAGGAGTAGCCGTCGCTCCACCGCTTCCTTGCCGACTTGTCCAGTGGGTGTAACGTCAAAGAGAGCCTCATCCACTTCAAAAGCTTGCCGGGGCAGGGAGTGCATGTCAGCCGCCTGTAGTACCAAGTCACATGTGCTGAAGGGAACAAGAACTACGAGAGGAAACAAGGGCCGCCCACCATTCGCGGGGAGAAGCATCGTAGATCTCGTTTACAATCCTGTGGCTGCAAAGGTATTCACTGGGGGGATATTGTGTTTTGATTTTTGCATCATTAAGACGCATAGCTCCCCCTTCGTCTCGTCGGATGAGGCCTCCTTGGTAAGAAGAATGGTCTCGTTGCGTACCAACCAAAAGGTCGGTTGTCCTCTTTAAGAATGAACCTATTGAATGGGACAGGCTCAGCCAAAATGCACCAGAACTCGAGGCGGGGGGAGGAGATGCCTAGGGGAAGTTTTAATAAGCTGCGGACTTCTTCCTGTAAGCGGATTGGAAAACAGGGGGGAAGGGCAAAGATGAAATCTTCATGCAGGAGAAAACCGTGGAGCCCGAAAGGGATAGGGATGCACGTTCTGGCCACAGCAACGTCTGGCGGGGGGGGGAAACGTCGGAGGGCGCGCAGGGCGTTAAGTGCATTGATTTGAGCAGACGGTCTAATAGCACCGAGCCCTCCACGTTCAACCTTTTTATATATGACCCCGTGGGTTAAAAGCCGGGTAGTGCGTCATGCCGAACGAAATTTGAAGATCGGAAATTTCCAACAGCTGCATCCAACGCTTTGGTTGGGGGGGGGGGGAGAAAGAGGAAAGAGGACAGAGTTGAGGACAGAGTTGAGTTGTTCAGACGCCAGCCATTTGCGGCAGGAGGCGGTGTCATGGAGGTTGGCTAGGAAGTTCGCCGATCTTTTGATTTTGGCAAGGGCGAAGTCCCACGTGGTAGTAGTGAGCCCGGAGCTGCCCACAAAAATGCGAGGGTTGGCGTACGGGGACCTCACCAGCATGGTTAATGTCAGCCGAACTGAAATTAAAGGGTATGAGGGAACACTTGGACCAATTTGGGTATTCTCTTAACACGGACACGGATTTTTTCCAGACACGGATTTTTTCCCGGCCACGGAATTCTCCTAACACGGACACGAAAGTTTTCCGGGCACGGATTTTTTTCCTAACTGGCAAATGCCTTGACTTTGTTTCAAAGGGCGAGTTTCCAGACATCCCACGTCTCACCAGAAGGGGAGGAAGGGAGATCACGGCAGGTGTCGCGGACGATGTGAGCGAGTTGAGGTCGTTTAAGCAGGGACTGCGCCAGATGCCACAGGCGAGGCGCAACGTTGGGGCTGCCACATTTAAAGGTAGGAAGGAGACAAGTCGTGATTAGAGACATCCCCAGACACTGAGGTGTAGGCGGCATCCATCACGCGTGATTCGAAGGCGGAAGATACGTAGATGCGGTCAAGCCGCGAGGCGGAAGGGGGGAGACACCTTGATCACTGCGGGGAATAGCAAAGAATGAAAACATCGTGGTTGACGGATGTTGGACGCAGAAGGAGTCCACGAGGTTGTGGTTGTTGTGAATCGAGGAAAGCATGGCGCCCTCCAACACCACGTGGCAGAGGAGGGGTCTATTCCTATCTTCAAGCGCGCATACCGTTATTAAATTCCCCCGCTATGATAACCTCTGCCGTGGCAGAGGGGGGATCAAGGGCAGGAGCGAAAATAGCCCGCCACCATTCCCGTCTCAGGGTCGGGGTGGAGGGAGCAATAACGAGAAACTGTTCCTGCAGGAAGTTAACATGAAGGGACAGCAGGCACCCATCTAGAGAAGATTTGGTAGAAGAGATGGAGATGTCTTTAAAGAGAGAGAGAGAGAGAGAGAGAGAGAGAGAGAGAGAGAGAGAGAGAGAGAGAGAGAGAGAGAGAGAGAGAGAGAGAGAGAGAGAGAGAGAGAGAGAGAGAGAGAGAGAGAGAGAGAGAGAGAATAGCGGTACCGCCAGGTTTAGATCGGCCAGTAAAAGGGGGAGGGTTTTGGGCGTATGAGGGTGGTTTAAAGGATAATATAAGCCGTTGGAAATTCAGTGTGAGCCGGGTGTCGATGAGTACCGTTAACGTTCACACATCTGATGGTTAAGGGAATTAACATGATGGAACCTCTAGAGCCCTCACATGCTTAGGCATGTGCATCCACAGGGCGTATAAAGGAACAAGGGGAAGAGAAAGGCTATGGGCTCGCTGCCTCACTAGCACCAAATGATTCCTTTGCAAAAGATACATCGTTAGGACATAGCAAAGGCATAAACCATGAAGCTTAAGGGCTAGCTGGGAGGACTTATGAGAGCAGATCAGCTGTCGACCTGTCTGGGGCATCCCGCTTACTACAGGAAAGAGGTGATTGTGGGGTGCTGCAATAGTGTGGTCACCCTCCAGGCGCCATACTTGTCCTTCACGGCCGGCATATGAGCCGAGTCCTTCATGTGCTTGCGGTGAAGGTCGGAGTTGACGTGGTTTATGGAGGTGTCTAGCGCCAGTCCACATTCGAAATTGCACTGCGAGCAAGATCAGATTTCCACATCGAGGTCGACCCTAATGAGCAGGAGCCCGGGCTCCTTGAATGCCGCGGGGGTGGGCTGCTGGCCAATCAGACGCCCTGAGGAGAGGGTAGTCCATAGGGCGAAGTGGCATAGAGACAAAAAGAGAGAGGGCGTGAAAGGGTCGGGAGCACAGACCAGGGGGTGGAGTGCGAAACCGCAAAGTGGAGCCATTGGGACGAGGGATGTGGACAAGATCACGAATATAGAGCATTAAAAGGAAGGAGAAAACAGACAGGCATAAATTCACAAGGCAAGGGTCTATAGGATGAGTGAAGGGGGTACCGTTAACTCCCTGAAGCTGAGCCACAGTAATGGTGTGGTGGTTGGGAAGCCGTGCGCGGCGGGTGAGCGCGAAGCAAGCGTGATCAGCAACCTGATTTTTGCTAGAGCAAAAAAAGAAAAAAGAGTGGCAGGAAATATTCGGAAGCACAGACTCCTCCTGATCAGGCAGCCATAGAACAACATGAATCCGATCAAAGCCAGCATCGCCATCAGCAGCCACTGGGATGCCGAGCAGTTGGGAGTAGGCGGACTCGTCATACGGGTCCTTGAGCCGATGGAATACACGAAGATCGGCGAGCCATGGGAGTGTGGACTCGGTCCTGCCCGCCAGCAGAGTGGCGCGCATGCGTTCAGGGGAGTAGCCGAGTAGTACGTTATGAAGTACCAGGTGGGTGTCGCCCCTAGCACGGGCCAGCGTGAAGTCCTGATTGGGATCATTGAAAACCTTAACCTCCATCGCACGATTGTTAGGCAGGCAAACCGAAATCAGAAACAGACCACGAAAGATACGTGCATCATTAGCGGACGGCCACGAGTAGGAGTGTCTGGAGTAGGTACAGCGCCGCAGCCTCAGGGCCTCACTAGCAGCCGACTCGAGAGAGGGAATGACGATGTTGAAGGTCTGTCCATTGATCAGGGACGAGATGCGGGCGAGAACCGCGGCACGAACCTCCTCCGCGGGGGACTCGGAAAAGATGACGTCCACCGTCGATTGCGTATTGCGCGTCAGCGACTGGAGTAGGAGCTAGGCCAGTAGACGGTCCAGCCGCAGCGTGCTCAAGTTTAGGTTCCATTGGCGCGGGCCGAGAGCGAGGAGCAAACGCCGTCCTTGGCGCCGAGGGAGCAGGCGTGCGTACCGGCGCAGAGATATTGGAGTAGCTCGCGTGAGAGATCGGAGGAGGCGCCGAGTGCGTCGCGGTGGCGACGGAAGAAGTACCAGCATCCGAGGATTGCCCTTTGCTGCATAGCTTTTTTGCTGCTGGTTCGCCCAACGAGGGCGGCTGAGCACCGTCAGTAAGGGAAGGCGCAGCACCATCGTGGTGAACGGGCAGAGCTCCATCTGGAAGATCTTCGAGGAAATCCTCACCGAGCTCGTCAAGAGTCTCATCATCCATAGGAAGCTGCTCTTCCGTCATCATGTGATCAGGGTTATGCTTAGTAGCCATGATTGCGAAGGGTGAGAGTAGATTGGCCAGAGGCCAGTGTTCATATCGGAAATGGGGGAGAGAGGCAGGAGTAGCCACGACGGGGAGAAAGAGACCGCGTCCTGGCATAAGGCCGGATCGCGCACCGTGGGTAAGGGAGCGGTTTGAGATAAACAATGTGCTTTGGCAATGGCCTCGGCAACCAGTAAGGTGTGACTGGGCGCCAGATTGGCAGCCCGAGTCAGGAAGGCGAGCATGTATGTTAACACTTAGAAGCGGGCGGCCACGGAGTGCAACAAAGCAGATCTGACTCCAATCAGAGAAATTCTGCGCGAGATGAGTCAGGCAGGGGTCAAGAGGACGAAACAGGAGCGCTGCAAGCGCCTTGCATGGAGTGTTGCAGCCCAAGGTGTGCTAGTAGGAAAACAGGATAACCGGACGGGGGTGACGTCAAGATAAGAAAGCAGGTTCCCAGAGTTCTAGAAGAGACGGTCGCCAGAAGACACCAGAGCGAAGGCCTCGCTGAAGTGGCATGTTAAAAAGACAGCAAGCGCGGGAGTTAGCAAGGGAAAGTCAGCAGAAAGACTCACCTTACCCAGAATATCGGAGCAGAGGGCCACGTCATAGGGCAGAAAGCCGAAAAACCTGTGCACAAGACACTCGTTACAAGCCAAAGGACCAAGCTTACCTCCCAGTAGAGCGTCAAAGAAGTTGCATTGAATGCAAAAAGCGTTAACGAAATGGCGTTCTAGCGTTGTAGAAGGACAAACGAGAACAAGGAGCAGCAGGGAAGCGAAGAGCTTCATTTTTTGCCGTTTGTGTCATGGAGGAGCAGACAGCAGGAACGCAAGCTATCAACGGAGCAGGGTTGGGCTGCATGCTCCGCTTGCTCGCGCCACACTGAACGAAATACTTCAGCTTGGCAGAATGTGTGTTTACAGAGGGGGGACAACCTTGGAAAGTTATAATCCGCTGTTCTCCAGATTTTGGTGAGGTTTCGCCATGCTGGCCACGTCATGCTCCTGCCCTCCTGACACCGTGATACCGACACTCTGCGACAAAACAATTTCGGTCAATTGCTCCCGTCATGCAGGTTTTGTCAGTGGGGGGTTGCAAATGCATGCAACTGATGGTATCGGAGGAAAGATGTCGGCCCGCCGGCAAAATCATGCGGTTACCCGTGTTCAGGGTTGAGGTGTTATGAATGAACTTGCAGAGTGCGCTGAACAACGAATATCGAGACTGAGAATTACAGAATGACGATACACACAAAGTGGCAAGACTAAATAGGGGATATGCTAGCTAGGCGGAGAGGTCAGGCGAAGATGGCTTGGTGATGGTTGAAATTACAGCGGGGCCAACTCAAAAGTGGTTCGGTGCGACAAAATAGGCCGAACCGAACTGACGCGTGCTCCTCGGGTTGTACTTGCTAGAGTGCGAGTACAGTAAGGAATTACAATTCCTTACACTCTCCCACCTTCCAAATAAGGCCTCCCTGTAAGTAGAAGAGTCTCGCAACAACGAGGATGCCGATGTGTCGCGATATATAATAAAAATATATTTATCACTGCCTGTAGCTTTAGCTTTAGTGTAGTTATGTTGCCTTGCTGTTGGTGGTGCACCTTTGCTTTGACCTATATGTTGTGTTGTTTTCTCATTAGTGAACACACATTCTCGATTCTCCTTTGGTTCAACTCTATCGACACCCGCTTGGCCTAGGCTACTAAGCCTAGGTCCCAAGTAATAACCCTAGCTTCCTAAGCTTACGTTCATACGTTGATACGATGATCTTCAGTGTAGCTGATTCGACGGCTGAAAATGCCTTCAACAATTTGAAGAAAAGGTTGGAATGTGGACCATTGATCAAATTTGAATTTGATCTGACGGTCGCGGATGAACTGGACCAATTCGAATTGAAGGTTGGAAACAGGACCGTTGATGAAATCGAAGTTCGTCAAAACTCGTTCCCGCTCTCGTTCCTCTCCCCCCCACCCTCCCGCCCTGCCCCCCCTCCCCCCGCAAAACTCCAGCACGTTTTTGTGGTGACCTGTTGCTGGCACAGTCCTAACACGCTCACCCTTGCTTACCATTCCTTTACGTTTCCTCCCTTCCTCTTTCCCCCCCCCCCCAGCACGTGCATGTGGTGATGGAGCTCTGTGAGGGGGGAGACCTGTTTGACCGCATTGACTCGCATGGAATGATCTCAGAACCTTCTGAAGCGCGCATCGTCCAATCGCTCATGCTGGCCTTGGAGCACTGCCACTCGCACGCCATCCTTGCACCGCGACACAATTCCGGAAACTTACTTATATTGAATACTGCTTATAATAAGGACAACAAAGCGGCCATGTTCAGCATGTGCCCAGAATCGCCTGAATGCGTCAAACTGATTGATATTGCAGTTTCAGTGAGTATGGCTCCCGGTGTTTTTCTTTCTGAGGAGGTGGGGATGACAGAGTACATGGCTCCTATGGTGTTTTTGTCAGAATACTAGGCAAGAATCAGAAACAGGAAAGAGGGGTTTTCACTAGCAGGCAGTTGAGTACATATAGCAAACCCTAATTTGGGCTGTACTCGCTATAGAGTACCCCACTGCAGGCTAGACAAACATCACATTCTGACACACCCCCATAGTCAAAGTGGGGTACAATCAACACAACAAGCAGGCAGAGCAGTAGTTCACAATGATAAGCAGAGCTACAGACTATCACAGAGGGCAAGTGAGGAGGAGGAGAAACTGTGGAGGCGAGAAGATGGGAGGCGACGGCTGAAGCTGCAGACACACGGGCAACAGGAGTGCGCAGCACTGTCGCTACCAGGCTATACCCGGACTACACGGCGACAGGCGCAGCTGGCTCTCTGTGCTCCCAGGAGTGTTGACACTGTGGCTACCAGGCTATACCCGGACTACACGGCCACAGACGCAGCTGGCTCTCTGGACTACAGGCGCTGCGGACGACAAGACGGCTGCCTCCACTCATCTTCCCGCAGCTGTCCCACACCCCTTTCACACACCCCTTGCTGTACCTCTAATACTGCTCACACGCCACCCCCTAGTACCACTCCGACGGCCCCCACACATCCACCCCCCTCAGCGGTAGCTGCAGCAGTGGGAGACGGAGGAGGAGGAGGAGGAGGAGCAGGGGACAGCGCACACACCCTTCATCCCCATACCCGCCACCCCCACACTCGCTACCCCCAAACCCTAACACAGGAAGCAGCGGTGGGGGCAGAGCGCGGGCAGCAGCTCGGGGGAGGGCGGCTCCCTAGGGCGCCTCAACGGGGCAGCAGGGCGGCCGCGCGCGGCTCCCCAGGGCGCCGCGACGGGGCAGCGGGGGGCCGCGCGCGGCTCCCCAGGGCGTCGCGACGGGGCAGCGGGGGGCCGCGCGCGGCTCCCCAGGGCGTCGCAACGGGGCAGCGGGGTCGCGCGCGGCTCCCCAGGGCGTCGCGACGGGGTAGCGGGGGCGACGCGCGGACCAGCGGGGCGACGCGACGGGCTCCTGGGGGGACGACGCGACCGCCGACCGGGGGGGACGCGCGGGTCGACGGGGCAGAAAACCGCCGCGCGCTGGGAAGAAAAAAGCACCGCGCGCCGTGAGCGCGCGGCAGGCAGCAGACATCGCGCGCCCAGGGCGTGCGATAGGCAGAACAGCAGCGGAAGCATTAGGCGGGACCACCCACAGGATCGACCCAGGAGGGTCGACCTGCTCTGATACCATGTCAAAATACTAGGCAAGAATCAGAAACAGGATAGAGGGGTTTTCACTTGCAGGCAGTTGAGTACATATAGCAAACCCTAATTTGGGCTGTACTCGCTATAGAGTACCCCACTGCATGCTAGACAAACGTCACATTCTGACAGTTTTCCGTTGCATACGTGAGTGCGACGTGTGGAGCGCTGGTCATTGTGCTCTTCGGCCAGACTCCTTTCCTACGCGATAGACCTTTCAACTCCAGCAGCAGCAGCAACAGCAGCAGCAGCAGCAGCAGCAGCAGCAGAAAGGGCAGAAAAGACAGCAGGGGCAGCAGCAGTGGGGCGGAAGGAGTAGCAGGTGAAGGGGGTGTGTGGCGGAGGGTGGTGGAGGCGAAGAGGGAGGGGGTTCAGCCACAGCCGGAGGTGGCAGGAGCTGTCGTCACCAGCCAAGCATCTCATTATTCGCATGCTCTCTGCTGACCCCACCACCCAAATTACTATCGACGAGATTCTTGGTAAGCTGATTCTTCGCTGGCTGATTCTTTTCAAACCGTTTATTGTTAAGCCGATTCTTGGTAAATTGAAACCCCTCTTAATGTTCCTTCTGTCAGAGAGAGAGGAGAAGCTGCTCTTGAGTCTGAGTTTGTCGCGAGACTGACGGGCGTGATGCGCTACATGTACTGTAATGCATTTAATTTGAATGTTTGCTTGTTAGGCTGTGATGATGGCTGTGTGTATCACTAGGTGTGTTACCATCCCCTTTCTGCTACTGGTTGTAGGTGTGGTTGGTGCTGTGGATTGCAAAGATGTCGTACCGTAACCCATACAAAGACACAAACCGGTACAATTCATTTACAACATGAGTGGTACAACCATTTTACATGCCTCTCACAATTAGCCAGCCCAATCCATGTCATCTATTTCTCACCTAACCAGGGCATCAGGACATTGGAAAATGAAGCCTCCATGGAGCACTTGAGCATAGTGTGATTTGTGCTTCCCTTGGAAATATTGTCTCATACCATAGAATACATCTTAACTAATCTTCCCTTGCTGTTGGGATATCGAAGCTGCAGTACAGGCCCACAATCCACGCCTTTTGGAAGGGGTCGGTTTTCGATTGCTGCTTGGGGCAGGCAGGTCGGTTGCTGACGTACTGTACCAAGAAAGGGTTCGGTTTCGACCGCTGACGTCAGCATTGATTGCAACATGCTCCCTTCTTTCCCCTCCCCACCCCATCCCACCCATCTCGCCTGTACCCCAACCAGCCAAAACC